TTTGGAATACGAAAACAAGCAAAAAATAGAAACTAACTTTAAGCCAAAAGCTCGATTCAAACATTTGTTTTGACTTGGGATCAAACGTTGAAACAGATAAATCAAATGGAAGAAACTAAAAATGATCATCTGGTAGCAAACTAAACATTCAAGAAATCTGATTGAAAAAAAAAAAACAAAACATACACATTAATTGTACCAAAACAAAAATCGATTCAGAAATGATTTAGTTTCATGTGATCAAATGGTGAAACGGATAACTCATCATTGGGGAAACTACAAATCGTGAACCTAAAAGAAAAATTAATAAAATTTAAACTGCTCAGAAGCGGTCATTTGCCATCTGACCGAAATAGAAATTGTACCACCAATTATTGTGGGAACAAGAAAAACAAAACGCTAAGAAAACACTTTTGTACAAAAGTCAAAAACGATTCTGCAATAAAAATCGATTCATATGATAAAATGGTGTTGATTCATAGGTCAAAGTACAATAAATGGCAAAACAACAAAAACAAAAGTTTTCAGAACATTTCGAATGATGGAAGGCGGTTATTTGCCATCATGTCAAAACATAACTTGTAGCAACAATTATTCTGAGAACAAAGAAAGCAAAAAGTTTTTAACAAAAACTTTTTTTCAAAAAAATCGATTCATGTGATCAAATGGTGAAACCCATAGGTCAAGTTAAAAGAAATGGCACCAACTAGTGAAAAAATTTCCGGAGCGTTTCAACTAATTAGAAGCAGTCACTCACCATCCAATAAAGGAAAACACAAAGCGACAGAGATTTTCGAAAGGAAAAAAAGATTAAAAAAAGAACATTATTTCTGTACAAAAAAACGATCCAGAAAAGAATTAGTTTCATTTAATCAAAGGGTGAAACGGATAAGTCATCATTGCGAAAGTGGCAAAATGAAAGATTAAAAATATTTTTGTTGTTTAGAAAGGTTCATTCGCCATCAAATGAAAAATGGAGAATCGAAAGAGATTCCGCGAAAAAGAGGCAAAAAAGGTGAGCACTAATTTTGTACCATAAAACGTTCAACTCAGAAATGGATTAGTTTCATGTGATCAAATTGTGAAACGTATAACTCATCATTGGATAAACTAGAGAACGCGCACGTCAAAGGAAAGTGAATAGTCAATGGCTATCAAAGAAAGAACAGAAAGGACCAAAAATTGTTTCAGAAATCAAGAAAACTACAAAAGCGAACACTAATACAACTTCACCAAATATAACTCGACTCAGAAACGAATTATTTTCATGTGCTCAAATGGTGAAACGGACAAATCATCATTGGAACGAGCATCACAAAAGATGAGTTTTCAACATAATTTGGCTGTTTGGCTGTTGAGGACCGGTCAACTCCCGTCAAGTGAATAACGAGAGAAAACGGTAGCAAAAAAAGTAAAACAGAAAACCAAACATGTTTTGTACTAACTTATTTTCGATTCAGAAAAGAAATAGTTTCAATTGATCAAATGGTGAAACAGATAATTGATCCTTAAAGAAACGGCAAAATGAGAACTTGAAAGAAGATTTTTTGTGTTAAAGTGTTCATTCGCTATCTTATAAAAAATAATACGAATCAATCATTACTCTGGAAAACAAAATAAGAAAACGAAAACAACTATTGCGTAATAACACTCGAGTCGGAAAAAAAATCAGTGTCAAGAGAAGAAATTGTTGAATTTCTCGTTGGACAGCAAAAATATCGGTTTAGAAATGAACATGTGATCAAGGGGTGAAACTGACAATTCATCATTGAAAAAATGGCAAAATAAGCACTTGAAAGAAATTAATTACAATTTAACTGTTCAAAAGTATTCATTCGCAATCAAAAACGATCACCTTGAACCAAATTGAACTGGAATGAGAAAACAAAATTGAAAAATTTCGATTCAGAAATTGATTTTGACATGGGATCAAACGTTGAAACAGATAATTCAACATGGGAGAAACAAAAAAGATCACCGTGAAGCAGTGTTAACAAACTAAACATTTAAGAAATGTATAAAAAAGAAAAAAAAACATACACAAATTGTACCAAAACAAAATTCGATTCAGAAATGATTTAGTTTCATGTGATCAAATGGTGAAACGGATAACTCATCATTGGGGAAACTACAAATCGTGAACCTAAAAGAAAAATTAATAAAATTTAAACTGCTCAGAAGCGGTCATTTGCCATCTTATCGAAATAGAACTTGTAGCAACAATTATTGTGGGAACAAGAAAAACAAAACGCTAAGAAAACACTTTTGTTAAAAAGTCAAAAATGATTCTGCAATAAAAATCGATTATGATTAAATGGTGTCGATTCATAGGTCAAAGTACAATAAATGGCAAAACAATAAAAACAAAAGTTTTCAGAACATCTCGAATGATGGGAAGCGGTCATTTGCCATCATGTCAAAACAGAACTTGTAGCAACAATTATTCTGGGAACAAAGAAAACAAAAAGTTAAAAATAAACATTTTTGTACAAAAACAAAAACCGATTCATGAGATGAAATGGCGAAACAGATAACTCATCATTGGCAAAACTTCGGAAGGTGCAGCTAAAACAAAAGTTTTTAAATTTTAAACTGTTGAGAAGCGGTCATTTGCCATCAAATCAGAGCTTAACTTGTAGCAACAATTATTCTGGAAACATAGAAAACAAAAACTTGAAAAAAAACAATTTTGTACTAAAATAATGATTGATTCTGAAATAAAAATCGATTCATGAGATCAAAGAGTGAAACCCACAGGTCAAGGTTAAGGAAATGGCAAAACAACTAAAGGAAAACTTCAGAACGTGTCAACTGTTTAGAAGAGGTCATTTACCATCCAATGAAGAAAAACACAAAGCTAGATGGATTTCGCTAATAAAAAAAAAACAAAAAACAGCAAACACTATTTTGGTACCAAATAAAATCGATTCAGAAACGAATTGGTTTCAAATGGCGATCAAATGGTGAAACGGATAATTCATCGAAATAGAAACAAAAAACGTGATCGTTAAAACGAAATATTCAATCAAAATTAACCTTCGAGGCGAAAGTCGGTAATGAATTAGTTTCATGAAATCAAATGGTGAAACGGAAAAGATATCATTGAAAAATGGCAAAAGGAGCAGCGAAAACAAAAGTTTCAAAATATTTTATTTGTTTATTAGGTTCTTTCGCCATCAAAAGAAGAATAACGAGCAACAGATTCCGGAAGACAGAAAGCGAAAACAAACTACACGTTGGTTCATTCCCACCCCTAAGGGTGGTCTCAACAAAAATCCAATTTTTAAACATGAAATTACATAACTTTGTTAAAACAACAGAAAATGAGCTGAAATTCGAGATCTGAAAAATTACCATTTGATCAAAGAAGGCTCATCCGAAAAAGAAACAACATTCACTTTTTGAGTCAGCAACTTTTTTTTAGTTGATTTGATCAATGAAAGTTCTCAAAATAAAGCAGACCCAAAATGAACAGAGGTGAAGCTGCGCTTAGCAAACACTAGCGACTCAAACACTATAACTTTGCTACGTATTGGATTGAACCTAAGAGGTTTGCAGTCAACACTCCAGAAAATGAGCTTAGATTCACGATCCAAAAATTACTATCTGATCAAAAAAATGTCATCCGAAAAAAAAAATCACTTTTTAAGTAAGCAACTTTCAAATTGAGTTGATTTGATCAATGAAACTTCTCAAAATGAAGCAGAACCAGCTTCACACAGAGGTGAAGCGGCGCTTCGCAAACACTACCGAGAACACGACAAAAAAGGAGCTGTTTAAAAGGAAGTAAGAAACATAGAATAAGCCTCAAAGTAGTAAATATTGCAGTCTCATAACCGTTCTCTCGGCCACCAAGCTTAACAATCAGCAGATAAAGCAGCTACATATGCTAATATATTACCAATGCCATTCAGCAAAATTAGAACCAAATAAAAATAGACATGATTTTACATGTAATATAACAAACTCAACCACACTAACTTTACCTGCAAAAATTTAAAAGCATTAACCACATTTTGTATAAATTATGCATTTAAAAAAATTGCGAGAAATATTGAGTTAGATACAACAGAAGCTGAGCATTGCAAGCTACCAAACAGTTAGTGAGATGGAAACAACTAAAAAGAAAAAAATCTAAAAATTTCAACAACTTTTTTGGAAGTACGAAACATTCAATCTCAGAAAAATAGGCGGAAAAACAACCACTAACATTAAACAAACATTTTGTAACTTTCAAGCACTCACAAGGTCAAAAACACGCGGATACACATCAATTAAAGTGAAACCAACGAATGGTAAAGGAAAATGTTGCCATACAAAAAAAACTTGAAAATCTAAGATATTTTTTTTTGGAAATACGAGAAATTCAACCTCAGAAAAAAACATACGAGAAAAACAATCACCAGCATTAAACAAACTTTTAGTCTTTGCCGAGCGTTCACTACATCAAAAACACGAGCATAGGCATCTATTGATATGATATCAAAGAAAAGCTAAGAAAATTGTTGTCATAAAAAAAACTTGAAAAAATCATCAACTTGAAAAAATCTCAGAAAAACCAGACGAGAAACAACCACTAGCACTAAGCAAGCTTTTAAAATTTTCAGAGCATCCACTAAGCCAACAACACGTGGTTAGACTCCAACTAATCAGAACGAAAAACGGCAACTATGCAGCAAAACAAATAACACTATACTAATTATGGTAGATATCTCAATTTTGATGATCATTTTCAGCAAGTTTTGTCCGCAAGTAACAAACCCCATTTGAGAAAAACGTTTTTAACTCTCAGCTTAGATTCGCTTGTCTTCATACGTGATTTTGAAATGGGGATTAGGGAAACCAATTCTGAATGTTTCAAAATCGCCCTTTGAAGTGAAATACGTATAAGCGAGATACTTCTGCATACTGACAAGTGCTTACTTGGATATCTTTCATTCCTCAGCCAGCAGAAAAATGCGGATAAATCAAGTTTGTTTGATTGGAAAATGCTTACATACTTTTTGTCTTTTCCAGCGGATACTATGAGCCCGTCCTTGAGAGTTGTGAACAGAGAGAACACTGGGCCCTTGTGAGCCTTCGAGACTACTCTACTTAGAATGTGCCTCTTCCACACATAGATGTCTCCGCTCATGGCACCTGTGAATGTCAGCTGGTCCTGAAATCGACATTAGGTCCATTACACGACATGGGAAGGAACCCCTAGCGACAAAAAATAACACAGAGGTGAACCTCAACTTCGCAAACCTATTCAACAAATGCTTAAAAACCAATTAGAAAAGAAATTATGCTAAGCAACAGTCACAGAAAACTGGTTAAAAATGTAGTAATTTTTCAAGTGGTATTTGAATTCTTAACTTAAACTGCACTTCAGAAACTCAAATTAATTCACTTTTTTGCGCCGTTTCTACTTCTGTAATTGTAGAGCTTAACATGTTGTTATTTAATGAATTTGAAATGAAATGAGCATAAATAAGTCCCAAAAAATGAGCTTAGATTTTGAAATTGGAGATCATCCTGAGGACAAAGTTTTTAGGGAAAAAAGTCTAGAACCCGACTGCAATACCATTGCTTATCGGAAGGGTAGTCAATTAAACAAAAAATCAAGCGTCAGTATATTAAGAGTGAAAGAAAAACACTTGATTTATACAAGCGCTGGTTCAAATTATTCATCGACAATGACATTATTATATCCTAGTTCCTTAACAAATGCAAACAAGGTAACACGCACACAAAACGTAGCAATATATATTCTCATACACTCATTATCTGGATCACTAATCAGGATTCAAACTCAATATACATCTCGTAAGAATTCATCTTACTTTGAGCAATATAATTTATTGGAGGTGAAATCTTGGAAACAGTATTTCAATAAAACTTGTTTAAACACAAGAATTCTTATTTGAATCGTTTTTTGACCAGAAATTGAATCAAAACCAAAAATGGAGTAGAGAAAAAACTTCAACACAGATGCGAAGCTGCACTTCGCAAACAAGCGTCAAAAAATCTCTTAAAAAGTCAAACACTAAAAAATGAAAGAAAAGTAAAAAATTATGAGATGAAAAAATTTGCTATGTTCCGATATCAAAGCCTTGACCTCAAAACTATCAATCACCTCTCCTAGCGTCTGCGCCATGGTCACATCACAGTTTTCAAACAATAGCCACCAAAACAACAATCAAGATATGATGTTAATACCGCAAAAAAAAACAGACTAGGGGTCCAGTCACAGCTGGAGGTAACTGTTTGATAGTTTAAATTAAGCTAGCGTGTAACGCACCTCCGGTGCTTCGAATTTTCAACAACTCAAAAAACTATTCTTTGAGTGTACTCTGACAGCACTCAATTACAGGGTTCGTAATTACAAATTTTGCAAAGTTTTTTATTGAAGTTTTTTATACAAATTTTGAAGAACCATAAACATTAATTTTTATATAAGTTCTTCAAAAAACCTAAAATGAACTAGGAAACGTCATCTGGGAAATTGAAAGCAATTGAGCAGTCGCATTTCGACGCAAGATCTGCACCTCCTGAGAGTACTCTTACAGTAACCAACTACAACGTCGGGAAATTCAAATTTTGAGAAACTTCACCTGAAGTTTTCTATAAAACGGTAATCACATCTCGAATTTCACTTAAACGAATTATTTTGCAATTTGAGTTTTCTGAAAATTTCCAAAAAAATCACAAAAATCGACGTATCTATTAAGCAAAATAGATTTGGACATTCTTAATTGGAGGCCAAACTTGCAGCCCCTCAGATTACTCTGACAGCCCCCCAACTACAGGTTAGGAAATTCAAACTTCGAAAATTAATTTAATTTTCATGAAAATTTTTTTTGAAAAATCACAAAAAACGTCATTTCTGGAAAACAACAAGGATTCGAGCAATCAAATTGTGAGTCAAAGCTCGCAACTCCTGAGTGCACCCTGAAAGAGCCTCACTACAGCGATGAAAATTTCAAGTTTTGTGAAACATTTTATACGAAACTTTTCTGAAAAATTTTGAAAAAAACCTAAAAAAAACGTCATTATCTCGAAACCTACAAGAACTTGAGCAGCCATATTCAGAGGCAAGATTCGCAACCCCCTGAGAGTAACCTCACAGATTCCAATAACAGGATTGAGATCTTCAAACTCCTGGAATTTTTTCACATTTAAGTTTTTTTGAAAATTTCCGAGAAAATCATAAAAACCTTCATATCTCAAAAGCTACAAGGATTTGAGCAGTCATATTCGGCGGCAAAATTCGCAACTCCTGAGAGTACCCTGGTCCTGACAGAGTACAACTACAGAGATGGTAATTTCCAATATTGTGGAATTATTTATATCTATGTTTTCTGAAAAATTTTGAAAAAAAATCCAAAATAAAGTCATATCTCGCAGTATAAGGACTTGAGCAGCCATAATCAGAGGCAAGATTTGCAACCTTCGACAGTACCCTCTTAATATCCAACAAAAGGATTGAGATCTTCAACATTTTGGAAATTTCTTGAAAAAATCATAAAAAAACGTCATATCTCGAAAACTACAAGGATTTGAGAAGTGAAAACTTGAGGCAAGAATTGCAACCTCTGAGAGCACTCAACTACAGGTTGAGAATTTCAAAAATTGAGAAATTTTTCTAAAGTAAATTTTCTAGGTATTTTGAAAAATCTCGAAAATTGCCTATCTACAACGTCGGGAAATTCAAGTTTTTAGAAACTTCACCTGAAGTTTTCAAAAAAACGGTAATCACATCGTGAAAACTACCAAAATACAGGGTAACTACAGGGTAAAGATTTTCAAAATTCGCAACTCCTGAGAGTACCCTGGTCCTGACAGAGTCTCACTACAGAGATGGTTATTTCAAATATTGGACAACTACAGGGTAAAGATTTTCAAAATTCGCAACTCCTGAGAGTACCCTGGTCCTGACAGAGTCTCACTACAGAGATGGTAATTTCAAATATTGTGGAAGTATTTATATCTAGGTTTTCTGAAAAATTTTGAAAAAAAATCCAAAATAAAGTCATATCTCGCAAACTACAAGGATTTGAGCAGCCATAATCAGAGGCAAGATTTGCAACCTTCGACAGTACCCTCTTAATATCCAACAATAGGATTGAGATCTTCAACGTTTTGGAAATTTCTTGAAAAAATCAGAAAAAAACGTTACATCTCGAAAACTACAAGGATTTGAGAAGTGAAAACTTGAGGCAAGAATTGCAACCTCTGAGAGCACCCAACTACAGGTTGAGAATTTCAAAAATTGAGAAATTTTTCTAAAGTAAATTTTCTAGGTATTTTGAAAAATCTCGAAAATTGCCTATCTACAACGTCGGGAAATTCAAATTTTTAGAAACTTCACCTGAAGTTTTCTAAAAAACGGTAATCACATCTTGAAAACTACCAAAATTTGAGCAATCTTTACTGATGGCAATATTCGCTATCTTCGAAAGTAGACAACTACAGGGTTGGAATTTCACTTTAACGAATTATTTTGTAATTTGAGTTTTCTGAATATTTCCAAAACAATCAAAAAAATCGACGTATCTATTAAGCAAAAATGATTTGGACATTCTTAATTGGAGGCCAAACTTGCAGCCCCTCAGATTACTCTGACAGCCCCCCAACTACAGGTTAGGAAATTCAAACTTAAAATTAATTTAATTTTCATGAAAATTTTTTTGAAAAATCACAAAAAACGTCCTATCTGGAAAACTACAAGGATTGGAGCAATCAAATTGTGAGTCAAAGCTCGCAACTCCCTAGTGCACCCTGACAGAGCTTCACTACAGAGATGAAAATTTCAAGTTTTGTGAAACATTTTATACGTAACTTTTCTGAAAAATTTTGAAAAAAACCTAAAAAAACGTCATTATCTCGAAACCTACAAGAATTTGAGCAGCCATATTCAGAGGCAAGATTCGCAACCCCCTGAGAGTAACCTCACAGATTCCAATAACAGCATTGAGATCTTCAAACTCCTGGAATTTTTTCACATTTAAGTTTTTTTGAAAATTTCGGAGAAAATCATAAAAACCGTCATATCTCAAAAGCTACAAGGATTTGAGCAGTCATATTCGGCGGCAAAATTCGCAACTCCTGAGAGTACCCTGGTCCTGACAGAGTACAACTACAGAGATGGTAATTTCCAATATTGTGGAATTATTTATATCTATGTTTTCTGAAAAATTTTGAAAAAAAATCCAAAATAAAGTCATATCTCGCAAAGTATAAGGACTTGAGCAGCCATAATCAGAGGCAAGATTTGCAACCTTCGACAGTACCCTCTCAATATCCAACAAAAGGATTGAGATCTTCAACATTTTGGAAATTTCTTGAAAAAATCATAAAAAAACGTCATATCTCGAAAACTACAAGGATTTGAGAAGTGAAAACTTGAGGCAAGAATTGCAACCTCTGAGAGCACTCAACTACAGGTTGAGAATTTCAAAAATTGAGAAATTTTTCTAAAGTAAATTTTCTAGGTATTTTGAAAAATCTCGAAAATTGCCTATCTACAACGTCGGGAAATTCAAGTTTTTAGAAACTTCACCTGAAGTTTTCAAAAAAACGGTAATCACATCGTAAAAACTACCAAAATACAGGGTAACTACAGGGTAAAGATTTTCAAAATTCGCAACTCCTGAGAGTACCCTGGTCCTGACAGAGTCTCACTACAGAGATGGTTATTTCAAATATTGGACAACTACAGGGTAAAGATTTTCAAAATTCGCAACTCCTGAGAGTACCCTGGTCCTGACAGATTCTCACTACAGAGATGGTAATTTCAAATATTGTGGAAGTATTTATATCTAGGTTTTCTGAAAAATTTTGAAAAAAAATCCAAAATAAAGTCATATCTCGCAAACTACAAGGATTTGAGCAGCCATAATCAGAGGCAAGATTTGCAACCTTCGACAGTACCCTCTTAATATCCAACAATAGGATTGAGATCTTCAACGTTTTGGAAATTTCTTGAAAAAATCATAAAAAAACGTTACATCTCGAAAACTACAAGGATTTGAGAAGTGAAAACTTGAGGCAAGAATTGCAACCTCTGAGAGCACCCAACTACAGGTTGAGAATTTCAAAAATTGAGAAATTTTTCTAAAGTAAATTTTCTAGGTATTTTGAAAAATCTCGAAAATTGCCTATCTACAACGTCGG